TAGATGTCCTAGAATACGCCGTTTAATGAGGCGTTCGAAGATCTTACTGGAAATGCTGGTAAGGCTGATAGGCCTAGGTAAGTGTCTATCGCTTTTCTTATAAATAGGGATAACAGTTGCCCTCTTCCATTGTTGTGGAAGTGTTCCTTTGTCCAAGCACATTTGAAAGAGATGAGCATATTTGGCAGCCAACACGTCCGCGGATTCTTTCAGTATACGGGATTGGATTTCATCCGGACCCATGGAGCTGTAGGAGTTCACTCGTTTTAATTGTTCTTCCACTTCTGAGACTGTTATGACGAAGTGATCTACCTGGGATTGGTAGGTTGGGGGGTGAAGATTAGGATGACTGATTGGAGATGGGATGTTAAAAATTTGGTCGAAATGGGGCCGGAACATTTCCGCCACTTCTGCAGATGAGGTGGCTGGGGTACCGTCGGGTTTAGATAAGGCAAGGGAGGATGGAGTGTTTTGCCGGGTTCATCGCATAAATTTGTACAGGACTAACCGGTTTACCCGTGCCCTGGCTAAAATGCCGTTTTGATGGTTTCTCTGGAACTCTCAGATCCTTGCTTTGCATAAATTGCGAATGCGGATGAAGTCATTGGCATCTTCCATCAGACTCGTCAATTTGTACCTAGCAAAGGACCGCGAACATTCTAAAAGATGACGGATAGCACGCGGAAAGGGGTGTCTGTTTGATGAAAATTTACGGACATGGGGCACCAGCAGATGGTCCGCTGCGCGGATACACCGCTCTATTGTGCTACTCAAGATGTTTACGTCACTCATCTGGTTGGTTTGTGGGGTATAGGCTTGGAGGAAATACCTCAGGTTGTTGAAGTTTGTCCTTTTAAAAGAACGAACATCCCTAAGACACGGTGTAACGCATCTGAGCCAGCGGACTATGACATTGAAAGACAACACGAATATGCCGATCACTCTTGCCCAAAGGGTAGTGCTGTTGGATTGTGTCTGTGAGGTGACTATCACCTGTTATGACAAGGTCTAGCAATGAGGGGGCTTGCCCGTTTGTATCTCGTTGGGCTTATGACGTGCTGAGACCAGGACAACTCTGTGACCAGGCTGACTAACAGACTACCAAATGTGTTGTCCTGGGCGTGGAGTCTGCGCCAATCTTTTTCCGGAGCGTTCAAGACTCCAGTTATCAGATGTGCATTGGGGCGCATAGATCTTAAGCGTTTTAGTTGATCTATCAGGAGTTGTGATTCTAGCTCGCCACAGGAGGGTGAGCAGTAGACTACTCCTAGCACCAGTGTCTCAGAGCGGGACAGAGGAATTTGGACCCAAAGGCAGTCTATGAAGGCGATGGGAGGGAGTGATAGAGTGATCGCTTGGGGGAGGTGGTCACTCGTGTAGAGGATCACACTACCTGCTCGACTTCTCATTGAGTCTCTTCGGAGCAATGAGTAACCTCCAAGGGATATTTCTCCATCGCTGTTTTCCGGGGTCAACCAGGTTTCTGTGAGGGCTAAAACATGGGGTTTCTTATCGGCCACTAACTGTTTGACTTCCAGCATNAATAACAGGAGCAAAATACTATCAGTAATCTATATATC